GAAATGTTGATGAGCAGTTGCACTTGTTGGTAGAACATTTGAAAGCTGCACAGGTTTATTAAGTTTTGTAGATTTGACGTAATGCATATAACGAAGATGATCGAGACTTTTCACAGATTTCGAAGCATTATAGACTGCCAATAAGGTTTGAGTTCCACTCTCTAATAATCTCTGGGCCAAACAATTTTCTTCCTCAAATGCTGCAGCTAGTTCATCCAAATTTGTCAGTTTCTCAAAAACTTTTAAAAATGATTTTTTTCCCTTTTTAAAAAGCGCAGAAGTTGTGTCACAGCCACTTAATGCGTGCAGAAATAAAATATGTGTTTTGGAATGAGGATAATTATCAAAACTTTTAGTCAAGTATATCTCCGTTTTTACATTTCCTTTCCCAACTTTTTTAAAGAAAAATAACAAGTAAATCAATACTTTGTCCTATTATAACTGCAGTTTTTTCAGACTTTGATTCTTCAATTGCAGTTTCAACAATAAGAACATCCGCATCATCTCTGGCTTGTTTAGTAGTAATATTTGCAGCTTGTAATTTTTCAATTAACATATTAATGAGCATATCTTTGTTATTTCGATTTGAAAAGAATTTTTTCTAAGTAACTGGTACAACCATTGTTTCATTGAAACAGACTTCATACGTTTTTGAAAGTGCAGCAGTTCTTCTCTGCTGCTCCATAGCTTTTACGTTCTTACTGTAGTCTGAATACAAAATTTGTAGAGAATTTTATTTTCTACAATATTGATAATAAATACAAATAGCAAAAAACCCACAGGAAATGAGATATTTACAAAAAAAAAGCGCAAAAAACCGATTTTTGTGACCTTTGACCTTGAAATTTAATAGCTGCGTACACCCTACCATATGTAGGTTTTGAGAAAACTTTTAGGGTGTCAATATACAAGTATTTACAGACTTACAGCTAGGTATCTCGAATTCCGAGATTCTTACCTAATTTAAGCTTAAATGACTGGACTATAATGAAATGGACCAAAAAGCAGTAATAATCTAAATCGAGCAAAATTTAATAGGATACCAACGAAAAACATATTTTTTTCATATACGAAACCGAATTTATTTGGTTATAAATTTTAATTCTAAACAAATGTTTCTAATTCGAAAAATACACAAAACGATTTATGAGGTACTACGTTGTTAAATTAATGTACCAATAATTATGAATGGTTTGATTTTTATATGTATTTAAAAGCAATGCCACCCACGAAATGAATTCCAATTAAAAAAAAAAACAGTTTCTCTTATTCCAATCATCAGTAAAAAGTCTAAATTTGTAATATAGTAATAAAGGTACAAGATAAATCAAAAATGTGGTATTTAGCACAAGATAATTACAGCGAAAGTCAACAAGTCCATTAAATTGAACTCGAAATAAACTTTTTAAAGTACATAATAATTATAATTAATTGTGCGTCAAAATCCAGATTAATTGTACGTTACAAAAATAGTATTTACAACCATACAATTCCGATTTTAATACTAATAAATAACGTTGATGGTTTAATAAGGACACATCATTGTTTTTAATCAATGCAGAATAACTAATAAAATGCCGTGTATTTTTTTGTTTTACGATTGATCGTAAATGAATTTTATCGGTCATGTGATTCGTGTTATTTTTATGCTATATCTCATTAGCTTACCGCCAACTAAAATCAGATTCGTAAATAATTTTTCGGTTCATTGCTTTTTTAATTGGAAAAGATACAAAAATGTTCTCAGTTTTATGAATGAATTGGGGATGTACAAATTTTTATTATACATATATAAAAGAAAATAGATATAGCTATCCTAAGAGAGTTTAAGGGTTTTTTTGTATTATCTGTAATATCTCTCATATCAGCTTGGACGGGGCTGTACAGAGAAGTGCAAAGTGAGTAACCGAGTATATGCATCTGAGTATGTTATGTTGATAATGGGGTGTTAATACACTGCGACCTAAAAGATCTATTGTGCCCCCTTCTGTCGCCACTGCACTAAGGAAATGTCTCAATGCCTATAGCGACCCTTCCAATCCTATTTTCTCAAGGAAGTGTAGGATTTGAAGTGGCTTCAAGTTAGGTAAGTCTCCCTCTTCTATTTGATATCCTCCTAGATATAGTGCCCTTGGATTCTGGAGTGCTACACATTCAGTTAGGATGTGAATGGAGGTTTCGTCCTCCTCCTCACAGAATCTGCACTCACTATCCTCTACTACTCCCAGTTTACTTAGGTGTCCTTTTAGTCGGCAGTGCCCGGTGAGGATCCCTGTTACAATACGTAGCCTGTTCTTGCTCAGGCAGATGCAGGCTTCCGATCTTTTTTGGTTATATTCACCCAGAAGTATCTTGGCCTGTCTCAGCCCCAAGAGATTGTTCCAATTATCGGTTCTTCTACTACCCAATTCTTTTTTAATCTCTTCTAATATTATGTTACCGCTGATACCGCAGAACGGCTCAGGTCCTACAAAGGGTGTTTGAGCCCCTTTCCTTGCAAGACTATCTGCAATCTCGTTACCCTGTACCCCGTTATGTCCCGGGACCCAAGTGAGAGTAACTCTATTTTTCTCGCCTAGCTCATTCAATTGTTCTAGGCATCTCCATACCATTTTTGAGCTGATTACGTAAGAACTCAGCGCTTTGATGGCTGCTGGATACACTTCTCGATGGCGTGAATTTCCGCCTGGAAGATGCTTGGGTATTTTCCCAAGCTTTCGGAGTGCTTGGTTCTCGGCCCATACACTCCTATTCCAGTTCCTTCTATGGTTTTGGAACCGTCCGTGTACCACTGAATAGCACGTCTTTTAGTTGCAAGCGCGATGGATTCTTGGCTCCATTCTTTCTTGCAGCCCAGCTCTGTGGTTTTGAAGTTTTTCACAAAACTGTACTTCTTTTGCATTTCATCCTGGGGCATGTCCCAGGTATCTTTAGTCCTGAAGCAAGTAGACTTTCGTCTGATTACTCCGCTCCTGATCATTCTATATCGTGTCCTTTTTGCCACATTCTCTATCATCAAATGTAGAGGGGTGAGGTTTAAGATCACCTCCATTGCGGCCGTAGGACAGGTTCTCATTGCACCAATAATGCAAACACAGGCTAGTCTTTGTACTTTTGAGATATTAGCTCTCGTAGTAACTAAACTAGTTCTGTTACTCCAGGCTATAGCCCCGTAAGTGATGATTGGTCTCACTATTGCAGTATACATCCATCGCAGTATGTTTGGGTTACATCCCCATCGTTTACCCGCCATGTTTCTGCATACCATTAGGGCTTTTGTGGCCTTATTTACTACTTCCTTCTCATGTGTGTTCCAGAGAAGTTTGTTGTCCAGGGTTAGGCCTAGATATTTGACTTCATTTTTCCATTCTATATCTATCCCGTCTAATTTAACGGTTTTGAGATTAAGTTTTCTCTTCCTTGAAAAGGCTACTAGTGTTGTTTTTGTAGGGTTTATACTAAGTCCCACTTCACGGCACCATCTTTTGGTATGTTCTAGTCCTCTTTGGACTATATCACACAGGATATTACTAAACTTGCCACTAGCAAATATGACTATGTCGTCGGCATAACCTTGACAGGGTATGCCGAGGTCAGTCAATCTGCATAGAAGTTCGTCTACGATTAGGCTCCACATTAGTGGGGATAGAACTCCTCCTTGTGGACATCCTCTGGTTGTGCAGATGGAGATGGTGTCCTGCCCTATCTGTGTCTCTGCAGTTCTCGAAGATAACAGCTGAGCCATCCATCTGGATGTGATGTTATCTACTCCTCTGTATGCAAGTGCTCTTTTTACAGATTCGTGTGGCGTGTTATCAAAAGCTCCTTCTATGTCTAGAAAGGCACACACGACCGTTTCTTTGTTTGTCAGTGCATCCTGGATTACATCAGTCAACTGTACCAGGGCAGTTTCTGTAGATCTTCCTGCTCGGTACGCGTGTTGGCTGTGGTGGAGTGGCACCCTCTCCAGGACTTCTGTTCTGATATAGTTATCAACAGCCTTCTCCATTGTTTTTAATACAAAGGATGTGAGGCTGATTGGACGGAAAGATTTAGGATGTGTGGTATCCTTTTTCCCTACTTTTGGAATAAAGGTGACTCTGGCCCTTCTCCATGCTTCTGGTATATATCCCAGCTCCAGACTGCTCCGGGATAGCCGGATTATGTGTGGTAGTAATTCCTCCTGTGCCTGCTAAAGCAGGGCAGGAAATATTCCATCCACACCTGGAGACTTAAACGGTTTAAAAGTGTTTACGGCCCACCTTAACCGATTTCTGCTGCATATATGCTTGGCCACTACAGCGGCCTCTCTTGGGGGTCTGCTTACCTTAGTTGTGTCCCTTATTAGAAAAGGTGAGTTTCGAGTAAGAGGCGAGCTCTTTCCTCCTCACTCTCCGTGAAGCTTCCATTTGGTTTCTTTAATGCCATAACTGTATCAACTCTCCCTTTTGCCAGGACCCTGTGCAGTCTCGCTGCCTCAGGTGTAGAGTTAATATCCTCGCAGAATTTTCTAAAGCTGTTACGTTTAGCTTTCCTGATTTCTTTGTTGTAGGTAGTAAGCGCCTCGGTGTAGCTCTGCCAATCTCCGCTGTGCTTGGCCCTATTATAGAGCTTCCGCACTTCGGATCGTAAGTTTGACAGATGACGGTTCCACCAAGGAGCATCCCTACTAGTCCTATTTCTATGTATCTGAGTAAAAAAACAAGTATATAAATGAGTAACCGTAAAAGCGTATTTGAGTAAATATGTATTAAGTAGATTAGTAAGCGAATAAATGTATGTAATTGAGTAAATGAGCGAGTAACGAGTATATTTAAGTAAACTAGAGTTTGAGCAAGGAGTAAATAAGTTTGCTGGATTCAGGTAAGAGGTATTTAACGAATGTATTGACAAAAATATCTGCGAACTAATTTGAAAATAAATAAATGATTTATGGAGCCACTGCACTGTCATTTTAAACCTTGATTTTAAAATATACTTTATATTTTTTCCATTTTTAGTGGAGATGTTGACTTGGACCGTCACGCGGCTTTATCAAATACGGATTCGGGTAGTTCTTCAAATTCCAGTATATCCTACAAGTAAGATACTTTTCCAGTATTTAATCATACCTCATTATTTATATTGCTTGACCTCTATGAATAGTTAAACCTTCCTAACTATATTACGATTTCAAAATAATAGACAGTTGTCATATTTATCGAAAAAAGAATTTCTTTCATTATAAAAATTGTGAAAAAAAAATGTTTAAAATACATAATTATTGTTACTTAACACTACAATGTATCTTACTAAATATTATTTCATTATTAGCCTCATACCTTATTTAAATCTAAAAATGACCTATATTTTATATATTTTAAGTTAGTCACATATTTTACCGACTAAGAGAAGATAAGACAGACTGCATCGGCATATGTATTGAACACATTTCCTTTATAAACTTTCACAACATTCATTTTTCGAAAACATTAACAATATGTAGGTCATCGGAACACATGTGAGGGAAGATATTAACGTATTTACTTGGACTAATTGCTGATTTATTTGAAATAAAACATTACAGTTATTTATTTATTTAAATTTTTTTTTTGAGTTGATTGATAACAGTAGTTTATTATTTGAATGTCACAGAAATATAACAATGTAAATATTTAGTAAAATAATAATAGAAAATAGAATAATAATATACAGTCCTTTTATTAACTTAATACTGTATGTTTAATGATCGTGTGTTCACCTAAGACTCTTAATATTAAGATAAAAACACTTTGGGGATATTTTGCGAATTATTTCTAAATTAATTAATTGGAAATGTATTAATTAATTTTTTTTGTGATTTAGCGGTAGACTTTCCGAAAGCCCAAGTAATAGCGTCGATGCTGTACAAGATGGTAGACGAGGAACTTTGGACTCCGATAGTGATATCGACGCTGAATCTGAACAGTGGCAAAGTTTAGTACCTCCGGAAGAACTGAAAAATCTTTCTCCACACGAGAAAAAAAGACAAGATGTGATAAACGGTAAGATTTTCGGTAATTTTTACCGTTAAATTAACAATGTTAAATTAATATTTTCAGAACTCTTCCATACCGAAAGCTCGCATGTAAGAAACCTCAAAGTTTTATACAAGATCTTCTACAAGAAAATCCAAGAAAGCCAAACCCTCAAACCGGACGAACTGAACCTTATCTTTCCCAACATTAAGGAATTGCTGGATTTACATACCGAATTCAACAAAGAAATGAGGAGGAAGCGAAAAGAAGACCCGTTAATCAAAGAATTAGGTACCTTGATAGGAAACATGTTCGGAGAGAGGTACGGAGATTCGTTGAAAAAGGCCGCTGCGAATTTCTGCGAGAGGCAACAGATGGCGCTGGAGTTTATCAAGAAAAGACGGGAAAGAGATTCGAAATTCGATGCCGTTTTAATCGAGTGTGAGAAAAAACGACAGTGCAGGTAATTGTCCAACTATATACAATAATAAACAATAATTTACTTAATTAATAGTTATAATTTATTTATAATACGTACTAATTAATTTATTTATACTCAAGAACTATTTATATTTCACACTTCTAATTTATTTAACAATTTACTTATACTAATTTATATCAAATTTATTTTATCGATCTTTTCACAGCTATGACTCGACTTCAACTAACTGACTTTCTGTGAAACAGCCCATTTATATATAAATTGGTTTATGCCGTAGATTATTTTCTTTCCCACCATTTCTTAGACTAGCATCCCTGGAAATTTCTCGAATATGCTCCAATAGAGGCATTTGCTGGATTCTAGTACATTCCCGAATGACCGGGTTATCCGAGAATATTTCCTCCAAATTGACATTAAAAATCCCCCAAAACCGCAACCTTATAATAAAAGATCCCAAAAAAATGAAAAAGTACACAGTTTGAAATAAAATAGGTACCTAAACCAAAAGTTTGTAAAAATAGGTTGTTCTTTGTGACGAAATTTTTAAAAACCTCCCTAAATATTAATGATTTAATAAAAAAAATTCGAAAAAAAAAATGTAAATAAACATTGACAATAATATTTACATTTAAAGTAAAAAACAACAAAAGTTTAAATTCTTGATAATAAAAATAATTATTAAATTCGTGTTTTTAAAAAAATTGTTCAAATAAAAGTTGTTTGCGATATTATGCTCTATAATTCTTGTTCTATATAAATTTTTTTTAAAATGGACCGTATTCAAGATATTTTAGAAAAAGTGCAAACGAATTTTAAAAAGAGCTCAAAAACGGATAGAGAAAAACACCAAATCTTAAATTTAGGCTTTAATCAATTCTGCGGTAAAATGATAAAATTTTGTGCATAGTCGGAACATCTGGGGGATACTTGATAGGGAGTCATTTTTTTTACTTTATGAAATATATCTGTTGTTAACGCTAGGAAAAGAAAATTCTTCAAATAAAAGTTGCTTGTAATATTATTCTCTATAATTCTTGTTTTATAGAAAAATTCTCTAAAATGGACCGTATTCGAGATATTTGAGAAAAAGTGCAAATTTCGAATTTTAAAAAGCTCAAAAACGGATAAAGAGAAAAAACACCAAATCTTAAATTTAAGTATTAATTTATTCTGCAGTGAATAGATTAAATTTTGGGCATATTCGGAACATCTGGGGGGGGGGGTATTTTATAGGGGACAATTTTTCTACTTTATGAAATATATCTGTTATTTACGATTAGAGAAAAAAAAATTTCAAATAAAAGTTACTTACAATATTATTCTATATAATTTTTATTCTATACAAAATTTTCCTACAATGGTCGAATTTTTACAAAATTCGAATTTTTAAGACAATTCTTCTAATAAAAGTTGTTTGCAATGTTATTCTTTATTATTAAATGGAACACCCTGTATTAATTAATTGGTGGTATAACATTCCATTTAAAAGAATGAGAAAATCGTAACCTCGCATTTTGACACACCCTATATGCAACATAGCAAATGAATGAAGTTTTAAAGCCTTTTGACAATGAGTAAACAATGAAATATGTTAAATTACCTACAGGGTGACATATGTTTTGCTTTAAAAATGTTTGGTCAGCCCCTCGTTTATGGACCACCCTGTATATTTAAGAATATTTGTTAAATTTGGTCATGAAATTTCTTCATATTTCCAATTACGCACTGATGGGGCACCCTGTATTTGTGTTTTATGACTAATCTGTTGGTATCGTTAGATAGGTACATTTATAAGACATTTTATGCTAAAATAATATACAGGGTGTTGCATTTGAAAATCGTAACGTCCCACAAAATACCCCCGAAAAAATTTCCCCCTAAAATTTACTCCGAACTGATTATTGGGGGGGAATCCCCTCAAGACAACCCTGTATTTACAAAAACTTTCAAAGCCAAGTCCGATTTAAAATAAATATAAATCCCGTACACAGGGCGTTCCTAAATTAAGGACCCATAAAGCACAAGTTTATTTCTTAGTAAATGAAATAGACTCATTATACAGGGTGTCCTATTAGTGTTACAAACAGACGAGTTTCAAAAATTATACAGATTTAAAAAATACGTATTTTAAAAAAAATAGGATATACCTTTTTGTCTGGTCAATAAAATTGTACATTTTTAAATAGAAAATAGTATTTTAGTTTTAGAAAGGTTTGGCAATGCTGTATTTAATCCTAGATTTTTTTAAATATTACATTTTTTATGTAATTATAGAGTGATGCAGTCCCCAAATTATATAGTCATAATTTGGGTAGATTTAAAGTTTAATTTACTCAATATTTTCAAATGCAACACTCTGTATATTATTTTAGCATAAAATTTCTTATAAATGTACCTTTCTAACGATACCAATAGATTAGTCATAAAACACATATAAAGGGTGTCCCATCAGTGCGTAATTGGAAATATGAAGAAATTTCATGACCAAATTTAACAAATATACAGGGTTGTCTTGAGGGGATTCCCCCCCCCCCCAATAATCAGTTCGGAGTAAATTTTAGGGGGAAATTTTTTCGGGGGTATTTTGTGGGACGTTACGATTTTCAAATGCAACACCCTGTATATTATTTTAGCATAAAATGTTTTATAAATGTACCTATCTAACGATACCAACAGATTAGTCATAAAACACAAATACAGGGTGCCCCATCAGTGCGTAATTGGAAATATGAAGACATTTTATGACCGTATTTAACAATTATTCTTAAATATACAGGGTGGTTCATAAACGAGGGGCTGACCAAACCTAGACATTTTTAAAGCAAAACACTCTGTATGTGGTTTAACATATTTAATTGTTTTCTCATTGTCAAACAGTTTTAAGATTTCATTCATTTGCTATGTTGCATATCGGGTGTGTCAAAATGCGAGGTTACGATTTTCTCAATTTTTTAAATGAAATGTTATACCACCAATTAATACAGGTTATTCCATTTAATAATAGAGAATAACATTGCAAGAAATTTATATCAGAAGAATTTTCTTAAAAATTTGAATTTTACACTTTTTGTCAAATTTATCGAATACGGACAATTTAAGGAAAATTATGTATAGGACAAAAAATATAGAGAATACTATTACAAACAACTTTTATTTGAAGAATTTTCTTCTCCAAGCGTAAATGACAGGTATATTCCATAAAGTAGAAAAATGGACCCCTATAAAGTACCCTCTAGATGTTCCAACTATGCCCAAAATTTAATCATTTTACCGTAGGATGGATTAAAGCTTAAATTTAAGATTTTGCTTTTTTTTTCTCTATCTATTTTTGAATTTTTTTCAAAATTATAAATTTTCACTTTTTCTCAAATATCTCTAATACGGTCCATTTTAGAGAAATTTTATATAGAACAAGAATTATAGAGCATGATATCGCAAACAACTTTTATTTGAACAATTTTCTTAAAAACACGAATTTTGCACTTTTTTTTGTCAATTTTCTCGAATACGGACCATTTAAGGAAAATTATGTATAGGACACAAATTATAGAGAATTACATGACGAATTTTCTTCTCCAAGCGAAAATAACAGATACATTTCATTAAGTAGAAAGTACCCCCTTCCCCAAGATGTTCCGACTATGTCCAAAATTTAATAATAAATAGAGCTTAAATTTAAAATTTCACATTTAACTAAATATACAGATTTATTTTAAATAGTGACTTTTGATTCGTGTCGCCCTCTATGTCCCTGTGTGCAGAAATTATTTTTTTTTATCATATTTGTGCCAAATAAATCTCCGAAATTATTTTTTGTTATTTCGCTTGTTTTTTTCGCATCATTTTGTTATTTAATTCACTTTTTTAAGTATCATTTATTTTATATGTACGAAAATATTCAGTTATTAAAAAAAAAACATAAAAGCAAAAAACAAAAAACCAAAAAACAAAAAAAAAACAAAAAAAAACAAGAAAAAACAAATTAAAAAAAATAATAAAGTTATACGTTTATATCCAGTGCCACTTAGTTATCTATATAAAAAGTCTTTGAGGAATAAACCTTTACTCTTGGGCCACAAATTTGAATTCTTTTTATTCACATTTCTTTTTTTTTATGTGTTTTTGCTCAACATGCAATAGTGATTTTGAAGACGCATAAGAAATTGCATTGTTACTAATTATTTATTGTTATTAATAAGAAAAAGGTATTTAATCAATGCGATAATGCATTATAATTATAATTTAGATTTGACTGCAGGTTCATGCACCATTTTCAAAACATTAAATGTTTAGTATATAGTTGCTTGAAGCAACATTCGCAGTTTTATTGGCGATGTGATGTTGCCGGTTGGCTTTCTCTTGATTAATTGTTAAAAATTGCATAAAGGTCAGTAAAATTGGAAATAAACTAAAAGTAAATCTCTTACGATATCTAAAAATTAGGGGGCGTCCATTAATTACGTGAGGTGTTCAAGGGGGGGAGGGGATCAAGCTAAATCTTTCCAAATCTCACTTGGGGGAGAGGGGGCTCAAAAATACCTCACGTAATTAATGGACGCCCCCTTATATCTGCCAGCATCCTTGACATCTCGTTTATTTATTATATACCATCAACTAAATATTCTTTAGCAACTGACATACTCTTCCATCCACCATGACTCTTCCACTTGGTCATATAGACTCCATAAGACAGTAACAGTGATCTGTATACTTATCAGAATTACTTAAATCCAGATATTTTGCAATGGTGAACAATTTTTTTCAAATGTGTTTTTTTCAACTGGCTGTACAGTACAGCGATCTTGTCTATAGGTCAGAACAAGTCTTTTTTTCTAAACAACTACGTCCTAAATACATTTAATCTCTTATCAGCTTCAAACTGTTCATTTTGTCTTCGTCAGCAGTTCAAATTTCATAAAATAGTTTTAAATTTAAACATAGCATTTTGCAAATTGCATTTTTTCAACTCATTTGTGTTAAAATTCATGTATTTAAGAAATGCATGTTATCTATCCTAAAAATAACAATCTCATCTCACTTCACACACGTATACAAGAAATATATATTATCTATCCTTCAAATAACAATTAAATTTGGCTCTAGATACAAAACAAGCTAAATATATTGTCTTCAAAACGTGACGAACATCACGTAGACAAAATCAAATTGCATTCTGTTATATACTGTAGCTCTTGAAGTGCAAGTATTTTTAATTTGATATTTCTAATGAATTTCACGTGCTGATATAATGCTTATCAGTTAGACACGCCTTCCAAACACAAGAATGGACGAGTTTTCCATTCCACCTTAAAGTATACACATCGTTTTCGTTTATCAACTCGTCAACTCACTCCGCTTTCAAACGTTTAATAATAAAGATGTCTCTGAGTTGTAATCATTCTCGAAGTGAATCACTTCTCTCAATCATAGCAACGATAGTGTCTACTATGATAAAATGACAATATGTTGTCAAAATCAAATAGAATTTTCAGATATTTAATTGTAGATGCAACTAGTATGATATAAAAGTTTGAATGCACCCTATAGATGTATATGCTTTTGGGCTAGAGATCATTGTTCTTAGAGCAGATGTAGATCAATAACTATTAAAATAAAACCATACTTTTAGTTCAAATTTGCGACATTTTGTTTTAGGCGATTGCCATTCCAAGGAATCCTTCCCACGGAAATGCAGAGACTCTCCAAATACCCGCTCTTCCTCGAAAGGCTGATCCACAGCGTGGAATCCAATAAAGACATAGATAGTGATCAAGCGCAACACCATCAAGACGAAGTTGCGAAGCTGAAGAAGGCGCACCAGATGTCCAAAGAGATTTTGAATCACGTCAACGAAGCCACCAAAGTGGCACACAACAAACATAGACTGGAAGAGATACAAAAGCACTTGGACACCAGTGGTTTTGAGAGATCTGATCAACCGATAGCACAAGAATTTAGGACATTAGATTTAACGAAATTTAGGTAATTGAACAACTTATATAATATTAAAACGTTTTTTTTTTCTAGAGTTTAAAACAATTAATCTTTTTAACTTTTTCTCTTTTTGTTTCATCTTTTTTGCTTGGAGACCTTTTGTTATTTAATTTTTTATAAAATTGTCCTGGTGAATTGTCCTGGGGCTCGGTCTGGCTCTCGGTGGCCCTGTGTTAGGATACTCTAGTAAAATACGGTTTTAACTGACTTCAAAAAAGGAGGAGGTTCTTAATTCGTCAGGATATTTTTTTTATGTGTTCAGAGATTTCTTTGCCACATTGTCCGATTTCTATGATTCTTTAGGATTTTATAATATTTGTTAGAAAGAAGATGTTAATTAGTGATTTTGTCATTATATTTTTATCTATTGCAAGGTTTTTTAAGATAAATTTTGAGACTAGATATAATCTCCTCCATTTGAGGGGTATTTCTCCTGCTTTGGCTAGCTGAGATGCTACTGGTGATCTTTTCATTGCCCCCAGTATGACTCTTTGCCTGATATTGAGTTTTGTCTAGTTTTGCCACTTTTCAGTCTAAATGTGATAATATTAAACCCTTATAAATTGTTAGGAGTAATTGTTTGCTACTAGCACCAAAAAGGCCAAAAGTTCTGAATTTTTTAGACTAAGAAGGATCGGAAAGCGATTTCTTGGATTCGCTTCCAAAATTTTTTTGGAAAAAAAAGTCCCTACTTTTTATCTTATACAAACTGGAAATTGTAGTGCTTTTTGGAAGATTAAAGTTGTAACTAAGAGTTAGAACTGGCTCAATTCGGTTTTGCGGAGGTTTTCGAGGTCGCTAATCACGATTATCATGTTTATTTTGACCCACAGTTGACCTGGAGCTCAGGAACGCTGATGAACGTCATCTCCATGGGACTCTTCCGTAATTTACGCGAGGAAGGAGAGAAACTCGGCGCCCGGGGGTATTTTGGGTCGTTGAATTCAAATATGGCATCGGCGAACACACCCCGGATACCTGGTGCGTCAGAACCTGGACGTGGACGTCATCCCCGTGAATTTTCCTGACAAAATCTCCAAATAAAACCCGAAAAACATCGTGGAGGCGTTTTTTGGGGAACTGAATCCAATTTTAACATCGAAAACGACCCCCTGAACACCTGGTGCACCGGAACCTGGACGCGGACCTCTTCTCCGTGAGTTTTCTTCACACAATCGAAAAAGACAAACCGAAAATCGTTTTGGGGTTTTTTTGAGGTGCTGAATTCAAATGTGGCATCGGTGAACACCCCCCTGACACCCGGTGCGCCCGAACCTGGACGTGAACGTCATCCCCAAGAGTTTTCTGACAAAATCGCCAAAAACAACCTGAAAATCATTGAAGGAGCGTTGTTTGAGCGCTTAATGCATATTTCACGTCGAAAACGATCCCCTAAACACCTGGTGCACCGGAACCTGGACGCGGACCTCATCTCCGTGAGTTTTCTTCACACAATCGAAAAAGACGAAACGAAAATCGTTTTGGGGTTTTTTTTGAGGTGCTGAATTCAAATGTGGCATCGGTGAACCCCCCTCCCTGACACCTGGTGTGCCAGAACCTGGACGTGAACCTCATCTTCCAGAATTTTTCTGACAAGATCGCCAAAAACAACCGGAAAATCATTGAATGAGCGTTTTTTAGGCGCTTAATCTATATTTCACGTCGAAAACGATCCCCTGAACACCTGGTGCACCGGAACCTGGACGCGGACCTCATCTCCGTGAATTTTCCTTACAAATTAGAAAAAAACGAACCGCAAATCATGGGGGTTTTTTTGGGCGCTGAATCCGAATTTTCCATCGAAAACGACCCCTCCAACACCTGGTGCACCGGAATCTGGCCCTGAACGTCATCTCCGTGGGACTTTCCCAAAATTCACGTGGGGAAGGAGAGAAACTCGGCGCCCGGGGGTTTTTTGGTTCTCTGAATTCAAATGTGGCCTCGTCGAGCACCTTCCAAATACCTGGTGCGCCCGAACGTGGACGTTGGTGGGCGGGGCCTGGACTTAGGAGAAAGTTTCTGTGTACATTTACATAAAAGCGTTTTGAGCGTTGGGAGAAAAGTGAAACGCCGCTCGGCAAAGTTCGGAGATCTAGCTGGAGATTATTCTCGTAATTTTCCTTGCTCTATTCAAACCCGGCATTTAGAATGTTACAGGACTGGATCAACTTTTCCGAGGGCCCCAGGCGAGAGTTAAACATCAATAAATGTGTGAAATAATTATGAGACAATTTTTGGTTAGTCTTTTGCTATCGTTTCTGTAAAACTCTCTGAGACGACGTTCAGCCTGAGGTTCTGGTGCACAGGGTCGCTTTCGACGTGAAAGTTGGATTCAGTGCCCCAAAAATACCCCCATTACAACTTTGAGTTCGTCTTCTTCGATTGTGTGAGGAGTATGCTTTGTGAAATTATATTTGGAGTCAAGAATGATCCCCAGATATTCTACCTTTTTTTCTATAATGTGTTCATCAATAGCAATTTGAGGGATTCTATCAATTTTTTTTTTTTTGACCCAGAATTGTGAGATATTTCAATTTTATTTTGAAACATTTTTTTAGTTGTAATGATGGGCTAATGATGTTCCTCGTTTGATATAAGTCTTTAACCTTGATTAGTAGGGCTAGATCATCTGTATAATTTAGTTCCACAAATTTCTTATTCAGATTTTTTTGTTGTCTCATATAAATTTGGTCAAAATCTAATAATTGGATCCATCAGAAAATCCTCATTCTTCATTTTTTATGTATGTTTAACGATAATTCTTTACCACCTTGTCCGATTTATGTGATTCTTTTTTTGTTAGTAAGGGAATACCTCAAGGGTGGTCCCATATAAATTTGGTCAAAATCTAATAATTAGATCCAACAGAAAAACCCCACTCTTCATTTTTTATGTATATTTAGTGATAATTCTTAACCACCTTGTCCGATTTATTTGATTCTTTTTTGTTAGTAAGGGGGTACCTCAGGGATGGTCCCATGTAAATGTGGTCAAAATCTGATAATTGAATCTATAAGAAAATCCTCTCTTTATTTTTTAAAGTCTCTCCCTCAAGTTAAAATTTGATGTCTTTCTAAATCGATTTTCAAAATACTTTGTGTTATAGTAAATTTTCGTCTCTTTTCGATGGTACTTATGTCAATTTTCTATCTCTTTCCGTTTTTGTATACGGGGTATTTTACTATATTTTAGCTTGTAAATAGAAACATAGAATAATGTGCGACTTAGAGGTGAATCTTGTGACAAAACTTTAACTAACTGTCCATTTCCCCTGAATTTCTGTCTTTTATTATTATTTTCCTCATAGAATATATAGTCTGTGAATGAATTTTATTATTTGTATTGGAAAAAAAAATCAGATCCTTTCGTAGTGATATCTAAAAAAAGGTACTCCCTTTCGTCGCGAACTTCTAAAAACATAAACCGTCCTCAGCTAAAACTGCAGGACCCCGCTATTATTTTCGCGGAGCCGCTATAGAGGCTTTGCGGAGCCCCAGGGCTCCACGGGACAAACTTTGAGAAATACTGACCTAATTTATTATTATCTGTATGTTGCTTTAATGTCTAAGAGTACTAAGATTGCTGTTTCTTTTTCAATATATTTTTCATTTATATTGTTTTGGATGAGTACCAAGTTGTTGATGATTGATTTTTCTTTTCTAAAGCTATTTTGTTCATCCTTGAAGAATCGTTTTTCTTTTTTTTTTAATATTCTACTCTATCTTTTAGGATTGACTTCAAAACATTCAGCAAAACATGGCTATAATGGCGATAATTACTTTTGTCATCCCTTTTTTTTATGAAATACTATTAGTATTAGTAGCTGACGTTATAGAAATTTGCAATATCTTTAATATTTACCATAAAAAAAATTCTAGACATTTTTCTTTCCATTGCAGGTTAATTTTAGAAGGTGGAATGCAACTTAGGAGGCCTAACAAACCGGTAGTTCCAGTTCATATTCTACTTCTAGAGGAAGCGGTCGTTATTCTCCATAGGGATAATGACAGGTTTCTCCTCAAATTTTTCCAGTCAGGTTCGCCCGCACAACCTCAACCCTTTTCTCCAATTATCAAAATGAATATGCTTCTAGCTAGGACCAATGCCGTTTGTAAGTATCTTGAAAATTTTCTAATAGAAACAAATTTATATATAATATTGTTAATATATTTTTTTTTTTTGTTATTTTCAGGCAAGAATGCGCTTTTTCTTGTTAATATGGCAGTACAAAATAGCCAAATGTACGACCTTCAAGTAGACGATGAAATCAAAAGAGAAGTGTAAGTACATTTTTGTTAAACATTTTGTTATATACAGGGTGACAATTTAAAAACTTATCAGTAAATTAAAACCTATAAAAACAATTTATTTGATATATTTGATTTAAATTTAAAAATCTAAGAATAACATGCAGAAATTATGAAAATTACAAAGTTAAAAATACAGTTAAAAAATCTGATGAATCACATGACTTTCCTATCTAATTACAGGCTTTTTACAATTATTCTTTTCGCTATTTATTTTGTACTATTGTAATCATTAATAATAAAAAAAATGGTTTATTCGCGGTTATTTATCTTATTTACTAAAAATAATAAACTAAAAAAAATATGACTAGCCACAGCTTGATGAAACCTTTATAGCCAGATTTACTGGTTGTAGGAAAAATAATGTACTTCACTTGTGTGATTTTTTTTACACTCATAATGTGGTATTCCACTTTTTGCGACCCATCGGACAAATGAAAGAAATAATGCTTTTGGTATCTAAAAGGAATACTAAAGATATGAACTGTTTTTTTTTTGTTTTTCTTTTTTTTTTTTCCTTTTTTTTTATTTTTTGTTTTTCTTTTCTTTTCCCGTTTGTTCGTTTTTTTTTCTTTTTTCCCTTCTGTTCGTTTTTTTTTCTTCTTCTTTAACAGACTTCAAAAAATGAAGAGGTTCTCAATTCGTCATAATATTTGTTTTATGTATGTTCAGCGATAATTCTTTCACACGGCGTCCGATTTCAATGATTCTTTTTTTTGTTAGAAATGGGGTATTTAAATCTAATAATTGGATCCATGAGAAATCCCTCACTCTTCATTTTTCATGTATGTTTAGCGATAATTATTTACCACCTTATCCGATTTATATGATTCTTTTTTTTTATTAGTAAGGGGGTACCTCAGGGATGATCCCATATAAATTTGGTTAAAATCTAATAATTGGATCCATCAGAAAATCTTCACTCTTCATTTTTTATGTATGTTTAGCTATAATTCTTTACCTCCTTGTCCGATTTATATAATTCTTTTTTTGTTAGTGAGGGGGTACCTCAGGGGTGGTCCCATATTAATTTTGGTCAAAATCTGATAATTGGAACCATCAGAAAATCCTCACTCTTCATTTTTTATGTATGATTAGCTATAATTCTTTACCTCCTTGTCCGACTTATATAATTCTTTTTTTGTTAGTAAAAGGGTACCTCAGGGGTGGTTCCGTATAAATTTGGTCAAAATCTGATAATTGGACCCCTCAGAAAATCCTCAAACTTTTTATTTTTTATGTATGTTTAGCGATAATTCTTTACCACCTTGTCCGATTTATATAATTCTTTTTTTGTTAGTGAGGGGGTACCTCAGGGGTGGTCCCATATAAATTTGGTCATAATCTGATAATTGGATCCATCAGAAAATCCTCACTCTTCATTTTTTATGTATGATTAGCTATAATTCTTTACCGCCTTGTCCGATTTATTTGATTCTTTTTTTATTAGTAAGGAGGATAACTCAGGGCTGGTCTCATATAAATTTGGTCAAAATCTAATAATTGTATCCATCAGAAAATCCTCAAACTTTTTATTTTTTATATATGTTTAGTGATAATTCTTTACTACCTTGTCCGATTTATTTGATTCTTTCTTTGTTAGTAAGGGGGTACCTCAGGGGTGGTCCCATATAAATTTGGTCAAAATCTGATAATTGGAACCATCAGAAAATCCTCACTCTTCATTTTTTATGTATGATTAGCTATGATTCTTTGCCTCCTTGTCCGACTTATATAATTCTTTTTTTGTTAGTGAAAGGGTACCTCAGAGGTGGTTCCGTATAAATTTGGTCAAAATCTGATAATTGGAACCCTCAGAAAATCCTCAAACTTTTTATTTTTTATGTATGTTTAGCGATAATTATTTGCCACCTTGTCCGATTTCTATAATTCTTTTTTTGTTTGTGAGGGGGTACCTCAAGGGTGGTTCCATATAAATTTGGTCATAATCTGATAATTGGATCCATCAGAAAATCCTAACTCTTAATTTTTTATGTATGATTAGCTATAATTCTTTACCACCTTGTCCGATTTATTTGATTCTTTTTTTATTAGCAAGGGGGATAACTCAGAGGTGGTCTCATATAAATTTGGTCAAAATCTAATAATTGTATCCATTAGAAAATCCTCAAACTTTTTATTTTTTATATATGTTTAGTGATAATTCTTTACTACCTTGTCCGATTTATTTGATTCTTTCTTTGTTAGTAAGGGGGTGCCTCAGGGATGATTCCATATAAATTTGGACAAAATCTGATAATTGGATCCATCTGAAAATCCTCAAACTTTTTATTTTATATGTATGTTTAGTGATAATTCTTTACCACCTTGTCCGATTTATTTGATTCTTTTTTAATTAGTAAGGGGGTACCTCAGAGATGGTCCCATATTAATTTGGTTAAGATGTGGTGATGGCATCTGTACGATTTCTTACTTTTTCAACAGAAAATTTATAATGTTTGAAATTTGTCCGGAGATTGTCCGGATTTTTAAATAAACTTCCTGGATATAGAAGATTTTATCTGGTAACTCTAGTTATACCATATTGCCCATCTAATTATGTCATCATCTACAATGTGTTTGACTATTAAATAAAATACAGTGTAGTGAAAAAACTTCTAACAATATTCTGTTCCTTTTTTTTTTTCTTTTAACTTGTTTAATCTTTTAACTTTCTGTTGTTTATGAAATAAATCTTTTTTGTTGTTTTTTTTTTATTTTTTGCATTTTTTCCATATAAACTAAATCAAATTTTGGATGAGTGGACCCATGGGAACTCATATTCAAACTTTGCCTATTTTGCCAAAATAATAACTCGTTACAGTTAAAATATCTCAATTACTAATGATTCCATAACTTTATTAAATTGCGAGTCAGTTGCAAGAACGTTCATTCAAATTTACGACCCTAATAGACCTGACTAAGTTTATCAGGCTCATAGGTACTGAATAAAATAGGTAAAAGTAATTAAGAAAGCTTTGTAGAATTCTAAAAATATAACCAATCTAACGAGCATTCCAAGATAGTGAATTTCCTGATGATAACCCTTTTCCCCGCCTTATCGCTGTTGCGGCGCCTTGTCGTGTCGCCTTCTTTAATTAATGAAACATATTTATAATCTTTTGTTATTATTTTTTTATTCCAATAATATAACTTTGTGCAAGCGCTGGCATTAAAACTTAAAACAGTGGAAGCGTGATTTCTCAACCTTGCCTACTCGATCTATTTACATTCTAACAGAAGGTAATTAGCCGACCATTAAATTTAAGGTTAGTAAACCGAAACGTTACTTTTTATTATTATTTCAATTCGAAGGCATTTGAGACTATATAATTTTAATCGGATCTATTTACCTTACTAATTGATGCAATCAAATTAATTGCATAATTGAAAGAATTGTAAGAATATCGACTATTTTATTTTTTCAGGTTCGTTTACCAATCAATACTGAATGCTTAAGGCAGGGTTAGCAGACTGGCCGTGGCAATTTCCCTCAAATTATTAAAAATTCTCCAAAGCTGCAATCTTATAATAAAATCTCCCAAAAAATTTTTTGAAGTCTCTCCCTCAAATTAAAATTTAATGTCTTTCTAAATCGATTTTCAAAATAATTTATTTTATAGTAAATTTTCGTCTCTTTTCGTTGGTACTTGTCTCAACTCAATTTTCTATCTCTCCGTTTTTGTATACGGGGCATTTTACTATATTTTAGCTTGTTTCTGAAGTCTCTCCCTTGAATTAAAATTTGATGTCTTCCTAACTCGATTTTCAAAATACTTTATTTTTTCTACACCCGTATTATAATAATGCACTTATATGCCCATAATCCGTTTCATAATGATACCCATTATGATACAGATTTTTCATTATGATACAGATTTTTCATTATGATACAGATTTTTAATCAATAGAAACCTACAATTTTTCAATCAAGCATGATGTTTGACGTTTGTCCTAAATTCCTATGTAATTGTTTTAGTTGTCAAAACGTATTAAATTTTCGTAGATAGCTAAACTTCGATAATTATAATATTAAAATGTCTGATATCAGCGATATAGAAGACTCCTCCACACATATCGGAGAAAGGAGAAAATGCAGTACAAAATATTTTGCCCCAAAAATCTGTGGTAATACCAATACCCAAGGTAATACCATTAATTACAATTTTGTAGAATTTTTTATAGAAATACGAGTAATTACTGTTATTGTGTTCAATGACAATATAAATAGAATATTTATAGGTCTTGATTATTTATCGGGTGTAGAAAAAATAGCGTATGCAACTCTCATGTAATGGTTATTAAAACACTCGCATAAACCATACGAAACTCGCCTTTGGCTCGTTTCGTATCCCGGTTAATGCTCGTGTATTAATAACCATCATTACATGATCGTTGCATAATATACTATTATAGTAAATTTTTGTCTTTTTTCGATGGTACTTGTCTCAATTTTCTATCTCTATCTGTTTTTTTATAGGGGGCATTTTACTATATTTTAGCTTGTTTTTAAAGTCTCTCCCTTGAATTAAAACTTGATGTTTTTCTAAATCGATTTTCAAACTACTTTATTTTATACTAAATTTTCGTCTCTTTTCGATGGTACTTGTCTCAATTTTATATCTCTCTCCATTTTTGTATAGGGGGCATTTTACTATATTTTAGCTGATTTTTGACGTCTCTCCCTTGAATTAAATCTTTGTATCTTTTTCAATCGATTTTCAAAATACTTTATTTTATAGTAAATTTTCGTCTCTTTTCGATGGTACTTGTCTCAATTTTCTATCTCTCTCCGTTTTTGTATACGGGGCGTTTTACTATATTTTAGCTTGTTTTTGAAGTCTCTCCCTTGAATTAAAACTTGATGTTTTTCTAAATCGATTTTCAAACTACTTTATTTTATACTAAATTTTCGTCTCTTTTCGATGGTACTTGTCTCAATTTTATATATCTCTCCATTTTTGTATAGGGGG